GGACGAGCTTCTTGATTGCGGTCAGACAAGGCTGTCGTGCAGTGGGTTATCCAGAATCTTAATAACAGTCAATTGGTACACCTTGAATATTGGGCTCTCGATATTGCAAGTTCGCTGTAAAGAAGGCCACTTCGCTTGTAGTCTAAATTTAGAGGTCTCCTAATAATCTTGAGGTCACATATCCGTCGTTCAGGGAATGCAGCAGCATAAGTATAGATGGAAATGATACATGCGGAAACGAGATACATGCATCTGGCCTCTTCTGAAATTCTCTCAGTCTTTTGCTATAAAAGCAGGCCATGCAGCCGCACTTTCCTATTGCTTGGAAGTGTTCATACCAAGTAAGGTGCTGTGCCTGATGGCAGTGCTGTGCAGTGAATGACTTGAAATGGATGCGGATGTATCTGCTGATTCTATGGCTATCAGCAGGAAGAAGGAGAAATTAATTCTTTGATTAGCCTAAATTCGCTTCATCCTGCCCAACCGAAACCAAACTTCTGTAGCTGCCGTAACTCTTTAGGAATTTCCACGTTAGGAAACTTAAATAATTGTCTCAATTAATAAGGAGTCAGGCGTTCAGCGAGCGAATCGGTTGGAACATGCTGTAAGATAGCAGCTGTATATTTTATTGTTCTTTCATCATGATAACCGGTGCCCAGTTTCCTCTAATGTCAGGTATGTGTTATATATATATATAACGGGGACAACATGGTTCTTTGGCGTGAGCATATCAAAGTGTGCGCGGCATTCGGACGTGCGCCATTTTTTTGATGCGCGCGCTTCAAACGATAGTTCTTTTTTCCTACTTGCTGGACGACTAACAATGCACAGGATGCAAACCGTAGATTTAACTTATAAATTTATATCTCTGGCCATTTGGCTGGTCTCATTTTCTTTCGATACATCAGGATAGGTGTCCATATGTGTAACATATCTAATCATGCTATGTTTTATCATCATAAAATGTTCATGTATCTGATTTTAAGCTGAATTAAATAGTAATTCGCTGCAATATGACCTCATAATCTTAATTAAATGATAGCCGTTCTAATTGCAATGACACTTTCATTTTTATTGTTCTTGCAAGTGTAGAAATTTTATTGTTCAGGTGGAATCGAAACCGGATCGATAACGGAGGTGTTCGGTGAGTTTCGTACCGGAAAAACGCAGTTGTGTCATACTCTTGCGGTCACTTGCCAATTACCGGTGGACATGGGCGGTGGCGAAGGAAAGTGCCTGTACATCGACACGGAGGGGACATTTCGTCCAGAAAGATTGTTGGCCGTGGCAGAAAGGTAAAGTGATTAATAATTAATTCCATCGAGACAAATGGTTAGCTAACTAGCTGATTATTCAGGTTCAGCTTATCAGGGCCGGATGTGTTGGACAACGTCGCCTACGCTCGCGCTTATAACACCGATCACCAGAGTCAGTTGTTGATCCAGGCATCGGCGATGATGTCTGAATCTCGATACGCTTTACTGATCGTCGACAGCGCTACGGCGTTATATCGGACAGACTATTCTGGCCGCGGAGAGCTTGCACCGCGGCAAATGCATTTGGGACGATTCCTGCGTTATCTACTGCGAATCGCGGATGAGGTAGATTTTTGTCATTTGTCAAATCTGTCCGCAATTCCATAGAACAGATGTTTTTCCGCACTTTAAAGTACCTTGAATTTAATTATTGCGTTCCCAAGAGTCATCTATGCTTTCAAGCGACATAATCTATAGCTTTGTAACGGCTAGCCGTAGTCAATCTAGTCAGTACTACTCTGCCATGTGCATGTATGTGAAGCTAATTTGTATAACTTCCACATGGCCTGATTTCATGGTTTCGGTAATGGGCCTAATTCTTACTGAGATTTCCGAGGAACTGTTTAAGCATACCATGATTTTTATGATATTTAGCATTTGCAGTTTACTATGCTTCGGCCGTTCTTTGCATTTTTAAGATCAGTTTTTGTTCTTCACCAGTGTAATGGATGAAGCTGCTGTTTCGGCTTCTGCAGGAGGAGTTCAACGTTAAGAATGCGTATTCATTGCGAAGCCACTGCTTGAACCAAAAACCTGCTTTCAAGTAATTATATAAGTGAAGACATTTGCTACGATTTTTGATGGGGGTGCAGGCAGATGCCTATCTAACAATTCGCTGTAGGACATCACCGACAAGACAGGACGGATTTTGCCCTTGTATATAAAGCAGCAAGAAATGATATAGGGCGGATTGGCACTCAGTTTCACGAGCAGTTTCAAAATCACAATCAAAATGCAGCGTGACTGCTGATCGTTAATGAGCTTCTGATATTTCCTAGCTGTTTGTCAATTTTTTTAGCGCACTTTCTCTCGTTTTTCAGCGCATGTTTGTGCATGACATTACGCTTTTGTTTCAGATTTATTGACGGCGGTATGCTTTATATTTTCGTAAATTTTCATACAAATTGTAACAATTTTTTGTCATGTATGTTTTGCACAAAAGGAGTGTTATTCATTTTCAGAGCAGCTATTCTTTTCTGTCAGGGTCCGCAGCAGCTTCGATTCTTTTCCAACTGAGCCCTATCCTATATATAGGAATAAGGCACTGAACTGGTTTCGGAAAAGAATATTTCCTCCTACAATGAAGGAACCGGGGCTTTATACCAAATATTGAAAGGTTGTGTAACGGCGCACCTCATCATAAAATAGGGACGTTCTGCTTATGCAAAACTGATTATCCCAACAAACAATGCACCTGTCCTATGTCCATCGATGAAGCTATACAAAGAAGATTCGAA